AGGATTTATAGACCCGTGGAGAAAAAACAGGAATTCCTCTTAGTATTAAGAAGGCACCATCATGTTTACATGTACATTTGCCGTAAAACTGAAAAACCAAAATTCCAATTTTCTGACAGATGAGGGATAAATTAAAGGAAAGGCCTCCACCTTTCAGAGGAGGTAATGCTCTTAAGTTATTGACAAGATTTGTAAAAAGTGAAAAATGAAATGCATTTGTGTAGTTGAAATGTTCTTCTAATTAACTACTTTGTTAATAATCTTGCGACCAAATGGAGGTGCCCAAACCTCAGCTTGAGAACCCATCTTCTAGATAACCTCAAAATGTAAGGTATTAAAGAATATTAAGTATTTTTGAATGGTCTGATAATGTTTGATGAAGGTATAGTTGCTGTAGATATATAATGTTTGCAGCAGAACAATGAAAAATTACAAATCAAAGTATCTCAAAACTCTATACTTTTATTCCTTTTATCATTGCTTCACTGCTCATCGCCACCGGACGAAAGGTCAGACCAACTGAAGCTGAACTGTAGTAACCCTAACTGAGGACCTCTAGTGGGCAAATCTTATATTGCTGGGGGGTAAACAAGCAGTGAATGTAATTTCAGCATGGAGGGCAGATAGACTGACTTCCATTCAGATTCACTGATCTGAATTCTAGCTAAGTGAAAAAGTTAAGCCACTCATGGTCTACTCAGCTATAGAGATTTAATGTGCTAGTATCGTCATTTCTTTACTTCTAAATTTATAATCCTGTCAGGATTTTATAACTACTCAAACTCTTCGCAGCAATTAAACTACATCTCTTTGTAGTTGTGGATGTTGACCTTTAATCAGACTCACTACTCACTAACTCTGTCTGTACTCTACTCTGTCTGTCTCAGATACTGTGTCTGGACATGGCTTCCATCACGGTTTCTTGCAGGTTGACAGATTTGTGTACACATTAAAATGATTTGCTGGACTGTGTTAGTCACAGCAGAAAAATGTACAGCCTGCACACCAGTAACTCTATTTATAAATATTTTTCTGACAGTGTTTCTGTTGTATCTGATGTAGCTCCTCGTCACGTCATGCTGACTTTATGTCAGACGTGTGTCAGCACGCACGCTATTACTGGATAGGCACACACAGATAGAACCATTGTAGAAGTCCCATGTTTTATTGCTTGTTAGCTGCAGAACTGCTGCACCACTGCTCCACGTCCATTGTCATAGTCTTCTCAAATCCTGCCATCTTTCAGCTCTTAAAAGGTGCAAAGAAAGTTTGATATTTGGTAAAATTCAAATAAATTGTTACAAAATTTTATGTAATATTATATTTTATGTCATTTAAAGTTGAGTTTACTTTATTGTTTAGGGTGTTTTATATGCATTTTACCTTATCCAAATTGAGAAAAGGTTCTAAAGCACTCTGAGAGAAATTTTTGATTCTGGGATATATAAATTAAACTAACTTGAGTTAATCCAGAGTGGACTGTCTAATGCAGATTTACAAAGCCAATTGATTGAGACTTTTCACGACCAAGGAAATCCTAGTGCAGTAATACAGCAGTGTAATGAGAAAGAAGCCTAGATGAAGGTAACTCGCTAAAAAGAAAAAAAGCAGACGCAGAGACGTTGTGTGTATTAGAACAGTGGTTCCCAAACTGGGAATCCCAAGATAAATTTGAGGTTGTTAAAGTGATTTATTCCCCTAATATTTCCTTTTTTTTTTTTTTTTTTTACTACTGGATACTTTCACCTCCTCAGGCCTATAAAGAGCCTTAAAATGAAACTACCTGTGAAGGAAAAATCATTCTCATGTACAAACTGAAGCCCTAACCTTCAACAAGGGTTCACAAGCCAAAAAGATTAAGATCCATTGTGTTAGAATTTGCACATCCAGATCCGTTAAGAACATTATATAAAGACGAAGCCACAGGTAGCTGTTGCAGAACCTATTGCTTATACTGTGTATATAGAACAAAAGAAGAAGAAATTGGCAAATTTGGCGATGTGCTCATTCAAACAATAAGGAGACAGCCAGCTGAAGGTGTTGTATTTATATGTTTGCCCGATCCATGGAAAGATTTCCTCCGATATAACCACAGAGTCACTGATTTCTTTTGATCTTATTTCTCCTTACATTACATTGACTGTGTTCCCAGCTCATCACACAAAACAGCTCTTCATAATGAATCCCTCTAGGTGTTTTGTGTGGTATTGAAAGCTATCATGTGGTCTTGTGGAGCCTCACAGACTCTGGGCGTCTCTCTGTCGTCCTGTTGCCGTTCAAGATGCCGGTGCTAGCAGATGACTCATTTCCACAGTCTAAACAGTATAAATTGTGTGTGTGAGGGCTCACATTTGTTCAAGTGTATATGCGTCTGTGTGCTTGTTTGGTTTGTGCCACATCCGGACACACTGTTTACAAGCCTCTCTAAACAGGGGAAGCCCACTGGAACAAAAAGGCCAGTAAAATTGATTATTTGGAATAATAAACACACAGCTCTGCACTTTGTCCGCTGAAAGCTTTTTGGTTAGCCTCTTATTTGACGGCAAAGATCAGGCTCAATATTTAACATCCACTTCTCCAACTTAGACTAAACGGCCTAAATGATTTACTCGGTAATTGTGCAAAGTGATTTGCCTAACACACTTCAATCCTCCAAACCTAAATACTTACTACACAAATGGGGAAGAAAAACGTCGTCAAAAATGAGCCGTGTTTTGTGTGTTTGATATAAATTCTGCAGTAGAAAACTCAATGGGCCAAACACTGCTAAATGCTCGCTGTTGTTTACAGCGGCAGCTTTGCCTTATAAAGCGCTTTTCCCAACTCGTCTGTCCTTTTAAAGACACTTTTACATTTCAGGACAGGTCACATAATTATCAGTCGGATCAGCATGTGAAGTTTATTTGAGGCCTCTGTTTATAAAATCCGGAAATGTGCTGCTTGTACTCCTTAACCCCAGCACTTACCTTTACCCAGAGACAGCTGTGTGTGTGTGTGTGTGTGTGTGTGTGTGTGTGCTCTGTAGCATGTACTGTATGTGTGCGTGCGCATGTGTGTGTATGCCTGCACATATTTTCCACGTTTGGAGTGTGTGAGCACGTGTATTTGTCTTTGTCTGTCTTTGTCTGTCTCTGTGTGTTTGTGTGTGTGTGTGCACGCTTCAAGAGCACATATTGTGCTGTTTCAGCTCCGGGAACAGATGTTGGGTATTGTAAATACAGGTGCAAAGAGTGTTCAGGAAGCCCCAGCGAGTAATGAAAACGTTTCTGCGGTTTCGTAAAAGTGTAATGCTGAAAGTATTTCTCAATTCATCTGAGGACAGCATTGTTGGAGAGCTGTGGCTTGAGCTTGTCGGTGTTCGATACAGCGCTACACAGTACAACATAATGCTACACACAGTCCTGATTCTTCCCTGTTGAAATGTGGAATGCACTGTTGAAGTGCAGACTTCTTTTGACACACCTTCCTGGACTATGTGGGTGATGATCTGCTGTCTCTGACAATGGAGCTCTGTGAGGTTTCCCTTTTGAAGTCTTCTACTGGAACGTAACCACCGTACACTTCCTGCCTCATTTATTTTCTTCCTCTCTGGAAGTTGAGGGCAAATCTCAGACGTTGTTGACGAGTTTACTTCTGTACGGACAGTAATATATATTATTTTTTTCAACATAAGCACATTATCAAAATATGTATTTAAAAACGATCCCTTAAATTGGTTGCCATAAAGAATGGTGGACAAACTGAGGAAGAAAGCGTTTCTAAACTACTGTTAACATATGTGGCATTTCTGTACTGTGAGTTTTTGTTACCTATCCACTGACATACGTGCCGATATCAAAATATCTGTGAGAGGCTAACATTGGCTAATATATGTTAGGCCTATTAATCGTCTAGGCTCTACTGTGGATCTGTGTTGTCTGGAAGCTTTGGATAGGATTTTAATGACGTTCAAATGCAGTTGCGTACCAAGAGAAGATCTTTAGAGGTATAGTACGTCGCACCTGAGAAATGTTGCTGTGGAGGCAGTCCAACATTTTTACCCGAACGTGGCTGCTCTTGCATCCATGCTGACATATATCGGTCTTGTTTTCCCCATCCTGAGCATCAGCTTGGGACATCGCTAGTCTTCAGAGGTGCTGTATTTGATTACAGTGTACAGTATGCCCTCCTCATGTTGTGTTAATGACCATAGTGACCAAATACCCTTGAGTACTGGAAAACTATGACTGTACTCTGTTGTGGAACATAAACACACAGTTCCCACTCATTACCATTCAAGATTCTTTTTATGTTGTACATAAAGCACTTTGAAGTTTAAGCATCTCTGCATATAATGTTTTTTTATTTAGAGGTTTGATTCTTTATTAAAAGGGGCCAATTTGGTGTGAGGGTCAGCAGAGGTGACCCCTGAAGGCCTTGATCTGGGGGAAGGTCGACCCACATAATTAAGATCATCCCTGTTGAAAAACCACAAATAACAGTTCTCCTCTCTTCTCCCTGGTCAACCACAACTCTGTGAAATGAGTTCTCCCCTCTGTTCCATACCTAGTTTGGCCCCTGGTGTGATGTTTTGCAAATGCGCATTCTTGTACATTTAGGGGCCCCCTTTTTTTCTCAATTCCCACTAGATCTCTGGCGAATTCAAAGTATTCTGGAAAGGAGGAGTACAAAAAAGAAGAAGAAAATGAGTCCACATAAGGTTCTGATTAAATTGTGTTGTGTTGCCTCTCTTTTTCCTCCTCCCTTCCCATCGGATGTTTTCATAACTAAACCAAATGTGTGCTTGGAGTCAGCCAAGAGCAGTCAGGAGAGAGAGAAACCCTAAAGCAAAATGTTAAAGTCACATCGTTGAATCAAGTTTCCGTTGCCCTCTGGGCGTCCAGACTGGACTCAGAGCTCCGTGGCATATGAACCCCATTTCCCCTCTAGTCAGGCCGTTTCTCTGCAAGGCTTTTCATTACTGCTGGCAAAGTGCTAGATTCACTCAAGACTGTTTCAGATGATTCTTGCTGAAACATTTATTAAACATTTATCAGCTGCATTTCACTCCCAGAGGCTTTTATGCAGCCATGCTATTGACTAGACCCTTTAAACTAGCTGTCAGTCAGTGCTTATTGCTATAAATTATCATCTAACTTTATGTGCTGGATTGAGAATTGAAATCTAGAAATACAACTTCTGAAATAAGTCTGCAAGAGCTCCCAAAGGTTTTTCTATAAAGCATCATCTCTCGACCTGGCAGAAGACCTATCAATGCAAAACCTTTTTTCTTGAGTTGCATGTGTTTTTGAACAAGTGGTTGTAGGTGTTTACCTTGCAGTTCATTTTATGTGTACTTTTGTTTAAATGTCTCAATGTAAATATTAGTGCCTCTGTATAAAACCTAAATGATGGATAAGAATATCAATGCCTCCATGAGTACAAACAAAAGGTTTCTCAACTTGTGGGTCTTCTTTAGCTGTCCACAAAACATCTTTTATCTTTCAGAATATGATGAGAACATAGCCGTTACTCAGGTTTTCTCCCCTGATCCATCATCCTTCTAACATTGAAGCAGGCTGAGTCCCTCCACTTTCACAGGGTAGGCAGCTGATGGTTTGGGGTTAGTGCATATGGTGTTGTGGCTGGTGCTCCTCATCTCCCTCCTCACCCCAGCTTCCTTCCACATCCTGTGCTGTCTTGCCGTGTCCCTTCCACTCGGACCAGATGTTTTTGTGTAGCCTAAGCAGCTCCGGTTTGAAGCATTAATGCAGATGAAGAGCTGAAGCAGCAGCCAGGTGGAGTGATGGGATGTTTAGACCTCTGGGGATCGAGGGAGAGGAGGGTGGATGGACGAGGATAGAGAGTGAAAGAGCAAGAGAAAGACATCATGCACGAGGGAGCTGTGACTGGGGAACACATTGACCTCAGCTTGGCATGTTCACGGAAAACAAACCTGCTTGCATTAATTGTAATGCTCCTCTTCTTCTCTTCCTCCCTCTATGACCGTCCATCTGTCTGTCCCTCGCCTAGTTGGAAAGGTCCTGGAAAATATAAACAGGATGCAGTCATGTCTGATCGTAAATCCCCTCTCGTCTGCTCCCTGGCCTGCAGCCCTGGACCACGTCCGTTCCCCTCCAGCCCTCGCCACCCCAACTCCCGCCCAGATCCCCTTCTTTTAGCTCAGAAGAGGAAGCCAAGTGTTTCTGTGTGTACGTGCATCTGTGTGATATGTGTGCGTGTGCATCGGGAATGGTTGTCTAATATACTGTTACCCAACTCTGGGGTTGGAAACGTGGTTGTGGGCTGGTTTTGTAACTACTAATCATTGTCCACATTTAGCGTGTAATTCATTCAGAGAAGACCTGTCCTCCCACCTGTAGGGGTTAAATCTGCACAGCTGGACGCAAGCTGATGCACACATGGTGTTTTCAGCATTGTCGCAGTTCTATTTCTTTGCCTTTCTCACACATTCTTCTCTGCCTATTAAGTAATGATCGCATGCAATATTGCAACCAGACCTACCTGCGGACCATGTTTTTCTTCTGTAATGTGAATTTGAGTGCATTACAAGCAGAGAAAGACCAAAAAGATTGCCTTTGCATCATATGCTGAGGACAAGCTGCAAAAACAGGTCCTTTATCAATATATATTCCCTTTCTGACAGAGATAACAACTTAAGTGGTTGTTGAAGCAAGTTTGTTGATTAAAATATTGTTACTGACCTTGAAATACTGGAAGGAGAAAAAGAAGTTAATTTGAGCAAGGCACTTGACCACAATTTGATAGTACCTAATAGTAACCTAACCTAACCTAATAGTATGTTCACCAAACACTCAAAATCTGGGACTGTAATAGCCTGCTCTTCATTGTGAATAGAACGTTGCAGCCCAGCACAGCTCGCTGAGCTTCAGAGACTCCAAAATGCCCAAAAACTCAGCTTTATACAAATGTAAACAAATGATGCAAAAATGAGTGGCAACTACACGAGAGCCAATCATGCTTGTTTTAATGCCCACAGAGCCAGGTGGCACTTTTGGTTGTCTGGCAAAAAAAACCAACCTGGTTCAACTTTTGACAGCCGGCAAGGTAACATTATCCTGCAAGGTGTTGCGTTGGCCATTCCACAATTGTAAAACCCCTTCTCTTAATATTATAAAATTCTGCGCAGTGTTTTACCATCTTACAAGCCGTCAAACGCACATTTATGTCATTCATACTGGATGTCATGTTTCACCGGTACTTAAAACAACACAACCCTACCAACACAGCCCTATAAACTTTTTTTAATGCAGGGCTGATTTTGGCCATTTAGGCACAATTGCAATGGAGAAGAAAACAGAGCTGTAGTAAATGCGGAATGCTTGCTGAATAGCTGCTGAATTCATCCAAAATTTACTCAGAATACAAAATTGAACTTAAACAGCTGTATGTTTCTACAATGTGCAATTTTAAGCTTGGCAGTCGTATGTTTTGTTATGACTTCATCCTGTACACACACTGTACCTATTGACTTTTTAATCAAAGAACCACAAATTCTCCCGCAGCTGCTGGTTTCATTTCTGTCAAAGAGTTGAAGTGCTACATCTGCCAGTTACCCAACACTAGCTATGTAACATGGATGGGATCTTTACTATTGGAAAACTAAATTCCCATCACAGATTTTTTAGCATGATGCAGGAAGAGCATGCATATTTAAGAACCCTTCCTGTGACTAAGTAATTTTTTTTTGTAACTTCTGCTTTTGAAGTATACATAGTCACTCATCACCTGTGCATTTTGCGGTGCTGTCTGTTCCCAGATCGTTCTCCTTCAGATCAGTCTGCTATGACCTCTTTTGCAAGGCGAAACAAAAGCTCATTCTTGATATTGACGCATCAGTGTTTGTTTTGCTGGCTTCTTTTTGTTCAGATGCTGAAGTCTCTGGAACTAAGGGTATTCAAACCTTAAGCGCTTCAATTACACTTTCCTTCCCTTTGGCCTACTCTCTTTTCTCCACAATAATGCAGGCCCAATTATTTTCGCGGTCAAAAGGGGAATTAGTGTTCATTTTGAGATTTGCATTAGCTAGGCGTGTATCATCACAGCGTGTACAAGCCTGAATGTTTTGAATAAAAAGTTGGACTGGGTGCATGTGGCTTTGGAATGAAAACCCTTAAACCACTATGCCACTACCATTGCTTCTTTAGGCAAACAAACACCAGTTCATATCCCTTTTTATGCCTCAAAACAAAGTCCTTTATTTTCTAAATGACTCACCTTTTCTTTTGTAATACGTGGACCTGAAATTTTTTTAAGACACAACTGAAACTTATTTTTGATGTTGATCTTTTGGTCTCTTGACACCGTGGCATTATTATCTTGATTTTTCAGAGTCTAGTTCAAATCTATAAGTTTTCCTCAAGCCTGTGTCAAGTCTGACATGTTATTGATATATTTATTCATTTTTTGTACAGTGTTGAGAAAAGTTTCTTCTTGTGATTGAAATGAGAGATTTAAAATGTGTTAACTCTCTTTCTACAGGTTTGCATGCACTGAGGCGAGCACTAGAAGCTTCCCAACAACCGTCAGACCAGCAGCTGACCGGGACAGTGACCGTCACTCTACAGGACCTCCAGTGGGCCATGTCTGTTGTGAAGCCAAGCGCCATGAGGGAGGTGGCTATTGATGTCCCCAAGGTAGAGTAACCATTCTTGATAACTGTTCCCTCTCTTTCTGCCTCCCACTTTCACTCATAAATGCTGAATCTCTTTCTCACACTATCTCTATCTGTGACTGGTTCCACTGGTCGAAACACAGGAACAGTCCTTGAAATATTTCTTGGTCCCCTGGAAAAGTTCCTGTGGTGTAAACGGACTGTTAGTGTAAATCAAGGGGGGGTCTACAGTCATTGTGGTCAAGGAATAGAAGAAAATACATCAAATTGTAAAAGTGATACACTGAAACCTTCAAAAATTATATATAGTTTCTAAAGTTTGCTAAAACTTGTCTGTGTTTTGTGTTGGTTAGCCAAGAGGAATAAAAAATATGCAGTTGATCAAAAGAAGTAAGTACAGTTTATGAGCAATGTTTTAGAGCAGACATCACAAAGTACATCACAAGAGAAGACAAATTTAACTTACTTTAACGACTATAAATAGATTAAACAAAAGCATGTGTAAACAGGTGGGTCTTGTTTTTTTACAGGTGTACACAAATCTTAACGATATAATATGTAATATTTCTGTGTAAAAATGTCTAGACCCAGTGTTTACCGCACATTTATTTATTTGTGGCAGCCCGCCACAATATCAAGGCTGACCGCCACAATTTTTTACTCTTAAAAATGGGTGAACTCGTATTTCATTGTGCAGCTGCGCACAGTGCAGATATTCGCTCAGCCCCTCTCTCTGTCATTTGTAACCCTTACCAGAGATTTGTTCTTAAGGCAAGTGAATAGGGAGTTAAAGAGAAAAGAAGGAATGATCTTTATCGCAGCATGATATATAATTATCAAAAGTTCAAAATGTTAGTCAGATGTAGAAAAACAAAAAGAAACTATCTAAGAGTACAAAAGACATTTGCTTATATTTTAACTGAGACTGAGGGCTTCATGTCAGAGATGCACATGGATGCAGAGACCATCCCTTCACATGCCTGCCTAGTTTATGGCATCATCTTTACTGACACATTATGTATTGGATCCTTTGTTTTTAATCAGCATTAGTTGTGTCTCAGTTGCATTTAACCTTGCAGTGGCCCTGCGAGGAAGCAGACTGGTTTACATCACACAGTCTTTGCTTCATTTAAAGAACAAAACAAATGTATAACCCAAACAGCGTCACCACTTGTTGCCACAAGAAAATCTAAAAGCTCATCAACAGCAGCCATGCCTCCCTTTTACCCTCTAATGCACATTCAGAAAATCCCTTAACTACTCTTTGCACCTCTGACCACTGAATCACCAGCACTTAAAAGATGGGGTCGGGCTGCAGAAGAGTGGAAATGACCTCTTGGCCATTTTACCCTCCATTGCAATGAAGATGAATCACTTTGCTCTCAGCGGATGAAGGGAGAGAGAGAGCAAAGGGGAGGAGGGATGAGAGGACAGTGGTGAGACTCCAGGATGTTTTGGAGTTTGCATGTGCAAGACATAACGGACAGGAAGAGGGCTAACATCATCCTCCACCGGTAATTGAAAGCAGATCGGGTCGCTGACGGTTCCTGCCAGCAACCAAAAAAAGAGAAAGAGAGAAGAAGAAACGTTCTTCCAATCCCTTCACCCCCACTCACCTCCCCTCTTCTCTCTACAACGCTCTGCACTGAGCTCACCCAGAGACGTCCAGTCCTTGTGGCCGGTTCCTGGAAACAAGAGAGAGGAGTGAGTTTGGGTTTGGAATTTTTTTTTCTTTTATCCCCCTAGCGCAGCTCAGCTGAAAGGCCAGCCGCAGAGCCCCGGACTTGATTATATCCACATGAGTGCAAACATTTGTTTCTAATCCATTTTATATAAGAAACTTCCAGTGGTGCCGGATGAATACGCGCCTCGAGTTCCTCGGAAACCTTCTCAGACCATCTAGAGATTTGAGTTGTAGAGATTATGCCTTGCAATTTATTTTGTATTTATATGTAAATAAATTGAAAGTTCATTGTTAATCCTGTGTTTGTTTTGTGACAAGACATTCTTCCTCTTTTTGACATCTTTCTTGTTTACCCAGCATTGCTTTATTTTTAAATAATCATCCTCCACTGTGCAGTCTGGCTTTAATATTTTCATTTGGCAGTTGTATAACAAGCCCATTTATTCCTCCTTTTAAACTTACTCCTCGTCTCCCTAGAGTTTTTTTTTTTTGTCTGAGAAGTCCCCTGCACCCTCCTCTCAACCCCATCAAAGGGCCAGAGCCTGAGAGGCCCCTTGTAAAGTTCAGAAAACAACAGTAAAGATAATAACCGGGTCGCGTTCAAAAAGGAAGGGAGGGGAGTAGGGGGGAAAAACGCAGCACAGCGAGGTGTGAGTCAAAACATTGCCTTCTAATTCCACAGCGCTTCATTCGTGACAAAAACCACCGTGCAGTTAATGTTACTTTATATTGTTATTTCTTACTATGACTCCATTAGGTCTGCAGAGACTTACCCAAAAAAATGCAACAAAAAGGGTGAAGATGAGACTTTACAGTGTTGTGTTGTATATCTGCTTCCTTGTTGAAAGAGTCGAGTGATTTGTGTTCAAGTGATTGGCAGGTCTGAGGATGTTGTCCCATACCACTGAATCTGGTTCAGATAGCATTTCCAAGTCACTCTAAGAATTTGTTTTACTTTATGTTCTGTAGCCGTTGAGAGGGGTTTACTCGCTAGAGTTTTGTTATAAATTATAGGAATTTGTCAACCACATTGTCCACCCCCTACTTAGCACATAAACACAATTCGATACTGGGTAAGTGATCATGTAACAAATCATAGAAATATTTACTGAGGTGTTGCTTTAAGTTTTGTTATATTGACCTGTACTGTTTACTTGGTTGCACAGTGGTGCGGTGGTTAGCACTGTCAGCTCACAGCAAGAAGGTCCTGGATTCAAACCGTGGCCATCTCAGGCCTTTCTATGTGGAGTTTGCACACACGACTGTAAATTGCCCTTAGGTTTGACTGGTTGCTTGTTTATGTTTTAACCCAGTTATGAACCGGTGACTCGCCCAATGTCGGCTGGGATTGACTTATCCAACATGGATAAACGGTTGAAGATGGTGGATGTTTACCCGATAGCTTTTGTTGGTGCCCCAGAGAAAACTCTGACTTCTAAGACTTCAGTCTTTCTTGCTCAACAGCAACCTTTTTAAACAAAGAACTATAGGATATATTGACATTTCCTGTTGTCCGTCCCTCCATCCATCCTCCATCTGAAGCAGCGGGGGGGCTGGAGCCAATCCCAGCCGACATCAGGCGAAAGGCGGGGTACACCCTGGACAGGTCGCCAATCTATCGCAGGGCCACATATAGACAATCAACCATTCACACTTCAGGGTCACCAATCAATCTAGGCCGCATGTCTTTGGACGGTGGGAGGAAGCCACAGCACCCGGAGAGAACCCACGCAGACACAGCGCTACCCACCGTGCCACCCCGTCCCGTTGTTCATGTTTGCTTAATATTTGTCTCTTGTACCTAATAATAAACGCACTAATAAACGAGTATCCTTGAATGCACAAGCCACATTCATTTTTGTAGTGAATAACTTCTGTGAATATACAGCATATTTAAAAATAGTTAGCCAAAACAGTCCAAAACATGCATAGAGCACTGAACAATCTCAGCTCAAGGTCGAGTAAATAGCGTTCCTGTGCTTTCAACAGTATCACGCAGTCTTCATCAGCAGATTGCTCAGTTGTCGTGAAACTGTAGTTTGAGACTTTGCATTACTTTGAGCACTGGAAGTACTCCATACGCTTGTTTAAGTCTACATTGAATGAATTGAATGTAGCTTCTTGCATATCACTTCCCATGAATGCTTTTTGTATGACATCTCTTCTGTCTCAGTTTTCATTGCTTTTCTTTATTCTTCATCCTTCATCTGTCTCATTACCCGTCTTTCTCCTGCTCACCTGTTTCCTCTATTTCTCTTTCTATAAGTCCATTTTACTGCTGCTTTTATCTCTGCACTTCTTATTTCATTTCATTCCTCTCTGGGCCTTTAAATGAGCGATGTGGTTCGCTCGCCTGCTTCCGGCCTGTCTCCTAATCTCTGCAACACTCTCTCTCTCCGTCCACTCTCCTCCCTCCCTCCCTCCATCCATCCGTTCTTTCCTCACTCTCGCCCGGCGCTGTCCATAAATTGTTCGGTATTTACAGTATGTGGCCAGACGCCAGGTTTCCATTAGGTGCTTCGTTCCCCGGAGACGGCGCCGGTGGCCTGGGATGTGTTACCTCTGGATGGAGAGTGGGGAGGAGGAGGGTGAGGGGAAGTGAGCATGATGGGTAGAGAGACAGAGAGAGGGGAGGAAGTGAAAAAGAGGAGAAGGAACAGGGGTAATCAGCAGTGTTTAAGGGAGAGCGACAGAGATGGCATGATAGTGAAGGTCAAGTGAGAGAAGAAAATAAGAAGGGAGTGCAGTAGAGATAAGACAGATAAGAAACAGAAAGATAGGAGAAAGAGAGGAAGGTACATGAACACTGAACTTACATGCACTTACTGAAAGTAACCTGGTGACTGCTTGCTTTCTGTAGTTATCTCATTAGGGCTGCTTTATTAATAATGTTTTGATTAATTGTTTAATCATCAAGTGAAAAATCATCAAATGAGAAACAACACCCATCAATGTTACCAGAGCCCAAGATGACCTTGTCAAATAGCTTTTTGCAGTTTAAAATATATCCAGTTTACAATCATAAAATAGAAACAACTTGCAATATTCATAATCAAAATGTTTGACATTTTTGTTTATTCTGCACTTGCCCATTTTCAAAATGATTTGGTATTTATTTTCTGTTGATTGATTAATTGATTAATCAACAAATAATTTTAGCACTAAACTTGATTTCTTAAATGTAGAAACCAGATTTCAGTCATAAGGGTAAGAATCCACCACACTTAAAATGGGTGCTTCAGTCATTAAAGCAATTGTGTATTATTCATGTGGATCACAGTATTTGATATCCTGACTTTTAGACCTATGAGCCAATTTTTCAAGATGCTGGATCCTTCAATTCCCATAATGCAAGTCAATGCTATTTCCCACACCTGACAAAAAATTGAACTCTCAAGCCCAACCTGAGGTAACCCTGATTATATCATCTGAGTTAGAGAGAAATAGGGGATATGAAGGTAGATAAAAAGAGTGAGAAGGAGCAAGAGAAAGATGGGGGAGGGGTGGAGCATGGGGAAAAGATGTATGAAGGGAACAGAGCTGAAAAAGTGAGGAAGGGAGGGAAGATGGATGGGTAATGAAGAAAGACAGGGAGAATGAGAGAGAAGTCTGAGAGGGTTTTGGATGAGCGCTTCTCTTCTTATCTACTTTATCTCCTCCGGTTGTTCACTGCCGGACTCTCTCCCTCCCTTCCTCCCTCCTTCCATCAGTCAGACAGACAGCTGCTGGCTGACTCCCTCTGTTGTTGTTCACTCCGTCCAGAGTCTCCCCTCCGTTCCTCCATCTCGCTCCAAATATGCTTTTATATTTCACTTCCCTCCATCTGCCCCCGACCCCGTTCATCAGCCTGGAAGAACTTGTAGTTCTCTCCAATTTACTCAGGAGGTCAGAAAGTTAAAAGGTCCTCCATGCGGGTTACTTGAGAACAGCAGTGACATCAGCGTGCAATCAGAGTTTGTTTGGTCTGTTGCATTTATTGTTGGCGATGTCTTTGTGTTTGAGCTGCCACAGGTTAAGACTGTATGATACTTCAGAAGAGTCAGAATGAGTTAGAACCGTATCCTAGACCAGTGTTGATAATTTATTGGTATTTGGCCTGTAATTGTTGCCCACCTCCAGTTTAATACATATGATGCATTTTGTTGACTGCATGTTATTGTGCCACTGAACCTTCCAGACAGGTTTTCCATCTTCTTCTTCGTAACACTACGCCTTGTTATTTTTCTTCTTTCACTACATCATCTTCTTTGACCACTTCTTCTTGTGTCACCACATCCTCTTTTACTTCTTCCACTGCTCCTTTTTTTCCCCTAAGATTCTTCTACCAGCAGTTCTTATTGTCTACAACAAAATCTAGTTTTTTTCTACTGCGACATCTAGTTCTTCTTCTGCTTATACGTCTTATTTCTGTCCTCCTATTTGTGCTTCTTGTCCTTATTGCCATTTATGAATATTTCTCAATCAATGCACATTGTGGTCAAATGATTTTGGTGATTTTCTTTGTCTTGTTCAGCAGTTTCAATCAAACGTGCTTGTATTAGATTAGTCTTAAAAAAACTAGATCATAGAATGCGTTCATGTAACTCCTTTGTTATATGAAATGCCAAGGTTTATGCAATATTGATTTGTCTATGTAGATCAAAGGGTCTTCATTTAATCTCTTGCAGTTTTATATGCATCTTATAGCTTGCCACAGCACTGCAATGCAAATAAAAAAGATTCTGTCCTTTAACTTATTAATAAACAAAATTTCCCTTCCAGGTCCGCTGGTCAGATGTTGGTGGGATGGAGGAGGTGAAACTGAAACTGAAGCAGGCTGTGGAGTGGCCCCTAAGGCACCCTGAGGCCTTCACTCGCATGGGGATCCAGCCACCTAAAGGAGTCCTGCTCTATGGGCCACCAGGCTGCTCCAAGACTATGATAGCCAAGGCCCTTGCTAATGAAAGTGGGCTCAACTTCCTGGCTATTAAAGTAAGTTTTCAGCAATGAGTGATAATTCTATTTTCTCATTTGTAACTTTTATTTTCTTTGTCTAGACAAGATATAGAATTTTTTTTTTTTTTCTTGAGTGCAATATATGATGAGTTCCAAATAAAATAGGTTCTGGGCAAAAGTTATTATCCCAATCAATTTTTATACAGAAATATGAACAAATTTATTACAGGTGTATCATATTCTGGTTGAGGGATCTGCCAAAACACTGCATGTGGAAAGAAATACTCAGTTATGATGCAGGTTTAGTAATAGCCAACATGTTCTGAGCAGGTTTCAGATTGCAACCACTACCTTCCCAAGCGTGTGCTCGTGCCCGTGCTCAAACTAATAAGTGAGCCAAAACAGAGACTGAAAACAGATAATAATTTTATCAGCATGACGCTGAATTAATAACTCTATATATAACTCTAACTTTATCTAGCTGGCTGCCCCTGCCTATTGGTTTTAGAAACAAACTGCACCGCATTTGCCTTGTACCGTTACATCAGTTCTTGCAGGCTAAAATCAACACTTTGACATTATACTGGTACACATTAGCTGATGAAGTAATGTGGCAAGCTTTACAACTATAGTATTTTGCAAGAGATAACATTAGCAACTGGTCGCCATTAGCCGGCAACCTAATGTTATCTAACTTGAGCCAACTAAAACACAAAATCACAATATATTTCACCTGTTTGCAGTAATGTTTACCTGTCCAATTGGATGAAAGCCAACTTGGTTTTTACATCTCCATGACTCAAACGGCTGCTGGATGTTGACCGTGTTTTTGCCCAATGTAGATCAGATTCTCGTTTGGCCTGCTAGTTTTCAGTAGATAAAACTTTATTGTTGGTTTATCCTTACATGGAGTTTGTGTTGGAGTCCGTGTTGTACTTCGGGCCATTAGGGACTCGGCTATTAATTGAAGTTTTACGGTTGTTCGGAATCAGTAGGCAAGAGGTATGGGAGCGCTCATGAATGTCACAGCCAAAGAAAACCAGTGGATTTCGCGGAAAAATCTGACCTCATTTCTTCACATCGTAAGCAGCATAGTAGCTGTTCCAAGCGCCAGAGAAAGGCGTGTGGATCATTTTTATGTACGGTTACAACCTGTTCACAAATAAGCAATACAAAAGTGATTATTTTTAAAAATAAACTTCATATAGCTTTAAGTTTGGAAAATATCATATCATTCTACACTGACTGACATTATCATGTACAGTATAGTCTGTATCAGCTTGTTCATAGAAACTTTTATTGATTTGCAGTTAAATATTCAAACCCAAGAATCGTTTTTTTCTAGCTACACAATTACACCAAAGGGAAATTTTTAGGTCTTGTGCATCACTTTAGATATATATCAGCCTGGCATGTTTGGATTCTTTGGAAACACTAGGATTTCCGTTACAATCTAAAATAAATGATATGGGTTATGTAAATGACCTAGTAGGTCAGTGGGATTTAAGAGATTGATATACAGTACATCTAATATATTATACACATACCAAATAAAACTTAAATCATCAATACACTAAATACACAGTATATCAAAAATGTCAAAGTAGTAGTGGAGATGTTGTTTTGGCTGCCCAGCTTCCTCTATAGACCTATGACCCAGTGTTTGTCCCCTCTCATTCATCACCCCATCCTCTCATCCACCCCCTCTGTCACCCTCATCTAAGCCTGCCCAGACCTGTTTGACAGAGATTGATTGATCAGCTTGTTGAATTTTTGATCAGTGAATATTTCCAAATATGTTGACGTGCACGACGGAAAGCTTTGACAGAATCTCTCAACCAGGGTCATTAAGCCTTCTGTGATTTGTTGTGAAATGCACAACGTCACAAATCCAATTATGTTAACACTTATCCAGAGCAACTTCAGACTGACCTGCCTGAATGTTTTATTGGGCCACCATTTACAGAAAACAAACTGAATGTGCAATTGTAGTTGCCCACAAAATTGTCTAATTGTGAATTCACTGGAAGTCAGTTCAAGGCTGCTTTATTAATCATACATGGTGGAATACAAAGCATATAACTGGTGTAAGAAATGAAAGCAAAACACATCACATAATGGGAAGAGGATGTATTTTTGGGGAAATGCATTTACATTTACATGTTTGTGCTATTATATGGCAAAGGTGAGTCGGAGGTCAACAATCTCATGAACACATTTTTAACAAATTTGACTATAGGCATTATCTTGTTTTCAAATGGGTCCTGATAAGACCCTTTACAAATGTACAAAAGCTGAATTTTTTAATGTTTTCACTTTCACATGTATTGTGTTTGATACAAATGTGATAAAACTATGCTAAATCACTTTAAACTATTGTATTATAATTATGTGCAGCAGTTTTCAAGTCATCACAAAGAATATCTGCTTTTTGAAAAAGGTTAAAAACATCCTTCCCCTCCCCCTGAAAGCCGCTCTGCAGCATCTGCAATAACAGTATCAAGTTTTTCCAGTGCAGCCGTTGCTTTGACATAGATACGTTTACAGATTTAAATGTGGATATTACGACTCAGCCTGTTTCCTCTGTGTGAAAAAGCCCTATTATCATCTTGTCAATTTCAGTTTCCTCCCACTGCAGCCACTCAAACCCACTCATATCCGCATACGTGCACACAAACAAACTCACACACAACTTGTATCTCTACAGTGTCAATGGTTTTAAACTCACCATGTCCAGCCTTTGGCTCTGTCACAGAGAGAGGAATCTGGGATTAATGAGTCAACCTCCACACTTACTGCAGGAGACAAAAGGGCTGAGAGTTAAGTGCCGTCTCCTCCGTCAGCCCAGAGGTGTTGAAAGGGTGAATTGCAGGGGAGGAAGTTCTTGTGAGGGCTGAGTGGATGTTTGTCTGCTTGTGAGCAAGGTAGAGAAGAGGGACGAAAGGACTGAAGGACAAAGAGAAGAGAGGGTAGCGAGAGGGTTCAGTTAGTAGTAGTACTTGGAATGAATAAAATTAGTGGTGGTAGTAGTGGAACTAGTGTAGGGTGGGATAGCAGAAGCAGAGAATTTGTGAAAGTATTTGTGTACAAAACTAAGTTGGCTAAATCTGAAAAACGCAGTTAGTGTATGACAACAACATGCAGCAGCATAAATATCTTCATAATGTTTCTGAAAGGTTTACTTTCCATACTGAAATGCCTTAACAATTACAAAATTGTTTAATATTTTCTTCCTCCTATCTGTCTGCAAACAACAACATTCAGACTAGTCATTGTCTTGGCGGGTTAAGGCTCTATCACCTTTGAGCCATCATCACATTGATTTTCAGTCCATCTGAATTCACTATTTAATTGTTGTCATCAACATACTTTCCATTTCTGTTGTCAGATAACTAAACACATAGAAAATGATTCGAGGCTCATGAATTCTACCCTTTTAACCAATCGAACAGTATTTCTTCACTTCATGGTCAAGAATGCCAAAGACATGGCAAAACTGTAACTGTGTGTTGGATATTTGCATGTGACAGTGTTTTTCAGTGGCGTCGATTGAGGCTATGCAAAAACAAATTCAGCTGTCCATCTTGCACATATTGTTGATCTAAACTAAATGTGGTGCTTTGCTTTGGTCACAAATCTGACATTTTGCCTGTGAGAACATGGCAAAGATTATATTTTATTTGATGTGTAGCAATAGTGGCGATAAGAGTAGCAGTAATAGCAGAACTATTACTACTATTCTAGCAGTTTTGCAGAAAAATGGTACTGTTGTGCTCTGTAGCATTGCCAGCTAAATCAAAGCTATTACACACGGACATAAACCAGTACACAGTGTAAAGTGAACATTGAAACAGCTCTTCTGCCCTTCATGATATTCTGTGTTATCACTGTTTCAATGTGTTTTAAATCTCCTAAAGATGCCACACAACAGCAGCTGCTTCTCTGGTCTTTCACAGCGTTAGCTCTCAGTGTAAACCATCTACAAACACTGCCACCAGGTGATCCTTCATGAAACATAACCATGATTAGTCATGATGAGTCATGAGTGTCTTAAAGATGATAGTGTATTTACAGCTGCTTCAAATCCGGTACTTCAACCTCAGACATGGTCTCTCGGGATCCGTTAGTTCAGCATACTTTTTTCTTTACATCAGCATTTAATTTTGCAATGAAACAAGGAATAGCACCTTAGCTTGATTCATATAATTACATTTCTTGTTGTCAGCAAGTCAAATTATAGACCAAATCTTACCACTTAAATATCGTTTGATTTTTTAGGGTCCAGAATTACTGAGCAAGTATGTTGGAGAGTCTGAAAGAGCCGTGAGAGAGGTGAGAACATTTAACTTCCCTTACCTTATTGTAAAAATGAAAGGTTTGAAATGGTTTGTTGGTACTATTTATATTTTGGCCTAAAGTTATGCAATCTGCCGTTATTTTCTGGACCACGTTGACCTATCCAAACAAGTGTTGACTATTTTTAGTCGTTGATGTCATGAACCAATTACCAGAGGTTGAATTTATGACATTAATGAATGCTGTATTTCCTGTTTATGTTTGTGCTGAGATGATTCATTTGTCCTGTTAAGGATCTGTCGTGTTTTCCTCTCTTCTATTGTTTCCAACACTGCTTGCAGGTGTTTCGGAAGGCAAGGGCTGTCGCTCCCTCCATCGTGTTCTTTGATGAGATTGATGCTCTCGCCAGTGAAAGAGGAAGGTATAGTATGTTCTGTTTCTTAACACCATAGAAAGAGGCCTAGTATTGAAAGAAATGAATGGGAAACACACAGTTCCTGCCCACTTGATACATTTTCACTTCCTCGGGGGATTGTTCACTGTTGAGTGCTGCTACTGTCCACTGTTTACTATTTTCAGCACCGTGGTCATTCATTGTCCAGCGATGAAATGCACAGTCATCGCTGCGGTCTGCTTTAATTTACTATCCCTCGCCTCTGTCTCAGCTTGTCTCACAAAGATTTATTTCATGAATGGATGGAGCAAACATCCCAAAAAGTCTACATGACTGCCCTACCAAAGCCAGCCACTCAGTTCCCATGGTGTCCTCTTAGACTTTTGCGGCTTTTCTCTACCGAGAAACACAGAACACAGTCTTATCCGGAGGCGCTTTAGTGGGATGGCACTGGGAACATCTGTGGCTTAAAGGAAAGAGGACGGGGGGCGGACAGAGGACACAGGCCGGAGGCGCACAAACACTTCATTGTACCCGTCCACGGCAGATGGGGAAGGCCAAATATGCAGCATGCTTCCTGGTAAACCAGTCGATGAAACTAAATGGAGGAAGGAGCACAGAAAGGCCAACAGGCCGTCTCTATAACTTTTCCATGTGGGCCCTCGGTCAGATGCTTCAAATGCTATACAGCGTCTAAGATAAAACACATTTTGTGCCTCTAATCATGAACTGTAGAATTATATCTTTACGGTTGTGTTAAACAAACTTCTCTATACTATTCCTTCTCATTTTTTCCTATTAAAAACACCACCATTCATTACATGTTCTCAGTACAGGTTTTTGTAACCAAAAAATTCCTATTACTTAACCCCTATATCTAGTATGCTGTCAACTGTAGGTGTAACGGTTAATTTGTTACATTGATGCATTGATTATATGTTAAGCCAATTCAATATTTTGATGTGCTAAGAAACAATCAAATTGAATTTCCTTAGCTTAAGCGCTTTGAATCGCAATAATCACATGAAGCTGGTGCCATTATTGTTACTGCTACTGCTATCAGTAATATTACAACAAACTGCTGGTGTCACTGTGGCTACAACTATTACAATTACTACAACTATTGCTACTCCAGACAATGACATGTATGGTCAACATTGTTCAGGCTAACTTCTAACCAACAACAAGAAACATTTTTTTAGATAGTCAATCTTGAGCTCTTTTTAAAAAAGCTTTAAAAAGCTTCCATTTTGTCATCTTTATTTTTGACACCATTTATCTACCCTTATATCTCATCCACTTAACTCATCTGAACTACTACACTAAACTTAACCTTTAGAGGATGCAGTTTCCAAAGGAACATGGAACACAGTTTTTGTACACTGAGGTTAAGTGCGTTCTTGACTAATTTCCAGTGAACAGGATATGACTCTATTGCAACTTGTCATCATCAGTTACTTTTTTTGCCAGTGGGACTGACAATTTCTCTCTGCTTTTTTCAGTTTGATTGACTTTCCCCCTCCTTGTCTTGATGTGCACTTTTGTGAATAAACTCTGATTCTCCACCCAGCCAGCTTTCACCAATAATGCAGTACAGTGTCGGAGTTAGTCAGCTGGCTGCGAACGGACGTGGGGCTGGACCTACGCCTTGAGGCCGCTCGCCATTTTAAAAATGCACTTAGCACTGATCTATAAAGGTTATTTATTGGTCTTCACTTCCTGCCGTGTTTAATCAATGAAGTGGCTCACACACGCCGGCAAGAATTCAAAACTGTTGACACAACTAGACAGCCTCTGCTGTATAGTGTGTGTGTGTGTGTGTGTGTGTTTTTCCCCCCTCTCAAGGCAGGAGATGAGAAGCACCTGTAAATCTGTCAGCCTACCTTCTACGAGTTCAAACTGGTGGAATGAAATGAAGACAGAAAGAAGACAGGAAGAGAAACAGACTAGGGGGGGGCAAAAACAGACATAGATAGAGGTAGACACTGACAGATCAGAAAAGACAAGAAAATATATCAGGATTGACTGAATTGAAAACAAACTGACTGTAATTCTGACAGAGAACCTAGAAAAGAAAATGGAAGATAATTATGAGGAATGAAAGAAGGATTGTTGCATTTGAAATCAACAATGAATAAGAGCAAATGTCCAAAGCACTTTGTCACTCTCCCTCATTATCTGTCTTTCCCTACTCTCCTTTTTTTTGTCATCCCTCTTTTTATATTGCCTTCTTTCCTTTACTAACATCCTCTTTCCTTTTGTCTCTCCCCCTGTATTGCTCACTGTTTCTCACTGCACTTTCTCTCACCACCTTTATTCGTTCTCTCACTCATATTTTTTCACCTCATAATCTCTCTCTCATACCCCTTCTTTCTCCAATTCATCACTCTGTCCTCCTTTCCCTAATCCTCTTCCCTCCTTCCTACTCTCCACACTATCTCCCCTCACCCAAACTTTCTCCCTCTCTCCCTCCCTCTTTCTCTCCCTTCATATCTCAGTGACAGAGCGCCTTTGTGTTCTTCTGCAGCCTTGTCTCTGCTAATGACGTCTGGCACTTCCGCTGGCCCTGTCAACAGAGACTGTGTGTGCGTTTCAGCTGAGAAGGGTGGCTGTCTGCACTGTGTTATGGAAAATAACCACCTAGTAATGCAGTGACTAACACACTGATGGCTTTCTTAAAGGATAAGCCTGATGATATTTTTTTCTTACTGTCAACAAATCCTACTAAAAGTATTGCTGGTGTAGCTAAGCCTGATATATGTTAGTCCTCTGTGCCATAGAGCAGCATTGTTGTCCAAAAACTATTAAAAAACACATCAATGAGCCACACTGTTGCATGGCAGGACATGTTCCGTCATTACCATGAGCACACGCACTGTAATTTTTGTAGAGGCAATCCCACATTCACCGTCCTGCTGCCCCAAATACTCATTAGAGCATCAAATGTATATCAATCCACTGCTGAAAATAGTCCATCAAATGCACTCTCTTCCAGTTTCAGTAACATTTGCTAAATAAACACAGTGTCCAACCATTTTATTATTTATTTAGCCTTTTTTATAAAGAAACCTGTTTGTTTGATAATTTATTTAAAAAAACAAAAGGGGGGATTGTCAATCTTTTGCTTTTAGTTTAAATTTGTCCATTTAGCCATTTACGGAGCGTTCCATCTTTTATTCTCTCACTCATCGGTCTCACACTGAAGAAACGTGTCTCAATAATTTGAGTTGCCCTCTGCATAAAGTGAAATGTGTGCATAGCTTCTGTCTTCCACATCACATCAAGTTCATACACAATCTGAATCCCGTGGAAAAGAACGACAGTTACATTAAATCAGTGCTGTCACATACCATTCAAACATCACAAAATTTAGCCATCATATCTGTAATGATTGGACCGAAATCAAAATGTTGGCTTGTTAAGTGACACAGCGGATGCACTGCAAATGAACAGCACAGCGTCAGCTCTACAACACTTAGGAGGGTTGGGTTCAAAATATATACCAGTTATCAAAAGTGGGGTTTGAGTTAATGAATATCTTAAAAATTGTAACACACAATATCTCATACTGATCTTAAAGTATGGAAACATGGGCGGGATACACTCCAGCACTACATTTACAAGTCCAAACAAGGTGACATATTTGCTAACTTTGTCTAAAGGAAGGCTGCTTTATTTGAGAGGGATGACGTGTTTTCTGGTGCTTTGTTTTGAGTTGCAGTTCAGTAGGACGTCATTGGCAGGAAAGCTCGCTTTTGCTGCCAAAGGTTTTTCATTCTTTTTTTAAGAAGAATTGTGCTAATGAAAGAACCTGCTATCAGAGTGTCAGTGAAACTATTCAAAAGTTTCCCTACAAGCATTCAAGAACTGGAGGATTTTCATCATTATATAATATAGCAAATATTAGTGATGAATGAGAACGGTTTATGCGTGTGTTGTTTTGGACTCCCGAGAGCAGGAGTGAGTAATGATCTGATGATGATGATATTTGTATCGTCCATGCACATTCAAACACCATAAGCTAATTTCCATTCTCTCTCTTTCCCTCTGTTATTTAATTTGTTTTCTATAAACATTTCTTCTTTCCACCCTTTTTCCCTTCATGTCTTTACAGCATGTGCTGTCCCTCCTCCCACCAATACATCCTTTATCCACCCATCCATCAGCTATCTGTAATTCATCACTTTACACGTTCACATCTCATTTTTTCCCCAGTTTCGTACAAATT